CAACCACATGCTGACGGTTACGAAGGGGGGCACCGCAAGTCCAGTACGTCCAGGAGACATGACTACCGAACTGGCAAACCTTATGCCAAAGTTGAAGAGCGACCCGTTGCGGCAACGATGCATTGGCTCGACGATCCTGATCTACCTCCAGTTATCCCTGACTTTTGCTTCAATGTCAGTACTGCAGGGCTCATCAACTCGTTGGAAAGGCTAGGAGAGAAAGTCAGATGGCCAAAGAGAATCGACAAACCAGCTGGAAAGCGAGACCCGAGCAAACATTGCGATTTCCACAACGACATCGGGCACAACACCGAGGACTGCGTCGCGTTGCGAAAGGAGGTCGCTTATCTTTTGAAGAACGAATATTTGACAGAAATTATGTCAGAACGGACTAAAGCCCTTTTAGGACGAACTAACAAGTCGTCAACTAAAGCGACACGACCTCCATCGCCTTCGGCTCCCTGTCAGGTAATTAATTTTATTAATGGCGGGTCGGATTTATGTGGTCAACGTATTTTGCTGCCAAGAGACACGCTCGGGAGTATACCCGAGACAAGTCATTGCAGGTATGCCAAGTTGAAAGACGACGTGACGACTGGAGAAACACTGCCATTGCTTTTGACGAGTCAGATATGCCAGACCCTATGCAACCCCACCATGACACTCTGGTCATATCCCTTAGAGTGGCGAACTTTGAAGTGAACGAGTCCTTGTTGACAACGGAAGCACGGCCAACATAACTACCATGCGGATGCTGGAACAGATGGGAATCAAAGAGGATGACATAGCAAAATCAGGATCTACCCTCGTCGGTTTCAACGGAGAGCCAAACCGAACCATAGGTAATATCTCTCTCCCTGTTTACGCTAACGGTCTTAATGTGCAGGTCAGGTTCGATGTAGTCCAAGACCTCCCAGCTTACAACATGATTTTGGGGACGCCATGGTTACATCAAATGGGAGCCATTCCGTCGACGTATCACCAGGTCGTCAAGTTTCTGACGCCTTGGGGAGTAGAGTCCATTCGAGGAGACCAGGTGGTAGCCAAGTCTTGCTATCAGACGGCCATGAAGCCTACAGCAAATCCTCCACCTTCAGCATAGCAACTAAAGGGTGACCCAGCTTTGGAGGAAGATGACGAAAAAACGGAAGAAGTAGTCATCGACAACGAACATCCAGAACGGGTCATCCGCATCGGGACAAACTTGCCAGCAAGCCTCAGAGCTGAGTTGGTCCAGTTTCTTAGACAACATAAAGATGTATTCGCTTGGAGTCATAATGACATGATTGGAGTTGACCCAGAAATCATCACGCACAAGTTAAATGTCAATCCGTCATATAAACCCGTCAGACAACGAAGAAGACGCTTTGCAAGGGAGCGGAATGACATCATAAACCAGGAGGTCGAGGCTCTTCTCCAAACCGGGAAAGCTAGAGAAGTCAGGTATCCAGATTGGCTAGCTAACGCCGTTATCGTCAAAAAGAAGGCAGCAAAAGGAAAAAAGGCAAAGTGGCGAGTGTGCGTAGACTTCACCGATTTGAACAAAGCATGTCCAAAGGATTCATTCCCCATGCCACACATTGACGTATTGGCCGATGCGACTGCCGGACATGAGATGCTCTCGTTCATGGACGCCTTTAGCGGATACCACCAGATTCAGCTACATTCTGATGATCAAGAAAAGACGGCCTTCATTACTGAGACAGGTACGTATTGCTATGTTGTTATGCCATTTGGTCTAAAAAATGCAGGTGCAACGTTTCAAAGGCTCGTCACCATGATGTTCAAAGATCAAATTGGAAAAACCATGGAGGTGTACATAGACGATATGATCGTCAAGTCAAGGAAAGCTGAGGACCACGTTGACAACCTGACGGAATCATTTAAGAAGTTGACGGAATACAACCTGAAGCTCAATCCGGCGAAATGCGCCTTCGGTGTGTCCTCAGGGGAATTCTTGGGCTATATCGTCAGTGAACGTGGAATAGAAGCAAGCCCAGAGCAGGTCCAAGCTATCATTGACATAGAATCACCAAAGTCAGTCAAAGATGTGCAGAGGTTGACAGGTCGAGTTGCTGCTCTGAACCGCTTCATCTCCAAGTCATCTGACAGGTGTCGCCTTTTCTATGACGTACTTCGTAAGAACAAGAAGTTCGAGTGGACAGATCAACACGAGCAGGCACTCCAGCGATTGAAGGAATATATGACAACCCCGCCGTTGTTGACAAAACCAAAGGAGGGCGACGAGCTTCAACTGTATTTGGCCGTCTCAGAACATGCTGTCAGCGCCGTGTTAACCAAAGAAGATGACGGAATGCAGACACCGGTATACTATGTAAGTAAGTCATTGAATGGACCCGAAACCAGGTACGCTTTACTTGAAAAACTAGTTTTAGCTTTGATTACTGCATCGGTTAAATTACGTCCATACTTTGAATCACATACTATTTGTGTGCGGACTAACTATCCCATGAAATCAATCATGAGGAAACCAGAGTTGTCAGGTCGCATGGCCAAGTGGTCAATCTAGCTGGGAGCCTATGACATTAGGTACGAGCCACGAACTGCCTTGAAGTCCCAGACGCTTGCTGATTTTGTGGCGGACTTTAGCCCTAAGCTCCAGACCGAAGCCGGAAAAGAAGCATGCATCATCACAGACGGTCTGCCTCAACAAAAATGGACATTGCACACGGACGGGGCGTCGAACTTAAACGGAGCAGGCCTGGGCGTAGTGCTAAAGTCACCACAGGGGGACACTATGCTCCAAGCCGTTCATTGTGATTTTAATGCCACAAATAATGAAGCGGAGTATGAGGCATTGATCGTAGGCTTAACTTTGGCAAAGGATTTGGGTGTCAAGCTACTCCAGGTAAAATGTGATTCCTTGTTAATAGTTAACCAAGCTAATGGTGTTTATGCAGCAAAGGATCCCAAGATGACGTCCTACTTGCAAATCGTCACGGAGTTGATAGCATGGTTCGACGAGATCACACTTGAACAAGTACCAAGAGAAGAGAACACACAGGCAGACGCTTTGGCCGCGATTGGGTCATGTCTGGGGGCAGAGGTCAATAGTAACATCCCTTTCGTCCACTTGACAAGTCCGGCAATTGACAGGTTGGAGTCCGTCTGCACAATCAATCCGCCCTCACAGGATGACTGGATGCAGCCATACATAGCATACCTGAGACATAACGTCTTGCCATTGGACAAAAAGGAAGCTAAGGCATTCCTCTCCAAGGTAACTAAATTCTTATTAATCGATGATGTTTTGTTTAAAAGATCTAAAGCAGGTCCATACTAAAGATTTTTAACACCTCAAGAAGCCATGAAAGTGCTCAGAGATCTTCATGAAGGCGAGTGTGGAAACCATGCTGCGGGGAGGAGTCTGTCTAACAAGGCTCTCCGATTTGGATACTACTGGCCAACCATGCGGCATGACGCAATCACATTCACCCAAAGTTGTCAGGCTTTTCAAAAGCACGGTCCGATCCGTCATCAGCCGTCAGAATCGCTTCATTCGGTCCTCTCACCCTGGCCTTTTATGAAATGGGGAATGGACATCGTGGGAAAGCTGCCCGAAGCTCCAGGACAGAAGGTTTACATGTTGGCAATGACGGACTATTTCTCAAAATGGGTGGAAGCTGAGCCATTCCGTCAGGTACGTGATGAACAGGTAATATCTTTTATTAGACGTAATATACTTTGCAGGTTTGGCATTCCGTCGGAGATCGTGTGTGATAATGGATCCCAGTTCATAAGTGCAAAAACCCGACGCTTCTGCGAAAGGTACAACATCAGGTTGGAGACGTCGACTCCTAGGTACCCACAATCCAATGGACAAGCCGAGTCTAGCAACAAAATCATTGTGTCCAATTTGAAGAAAAGACTCGAGAAAGCACAAGGCAGATGGGCTGACGAGTTACCCCTGATATTGTGGGCTGACAGGACGACTCCAAAGAATGCGACCGGACAGACTCCTTTCTCCTTGGTGTATGGCTGTGAGGCGGTCATACTAGCAGAAGTTGAAGTGCCATCCTCAAGATACGGGCTTATGACTGAAGAGCGGAACAACGTCGAGTTAATACATGATCTTGACACTATCGACGAAATTAGAGAGAAAGCTAAGATCCGTCTACAGTCCTATCAACAAGTGGTGGCAAAGAGTTTTAACAAGAACGTTCGGGCAAAGGTGTTCAAGAAAGGAGATTGGGTTTTGAGAAGAGCATTCGGAAATGAAGCAAGCGGGAAATTCAGCCCCAATTGGGAAGGTCCGTATAAGATCGTCGACATTATTGGATAGGGGGCATATCGCTTAGAATCAATCGACGGTAAACAGGTTCCTAGAAGCTGGAATGCAGTACACTTAAAATTTTTCCATTTTTAAATCTTTTTATGTCTTATTTAATGATCCGATTAGAGCGAGTCACTAACTTAAGCATCGGAGGGCCGTTGGCTAAAAGCCAACGGCCAGACCTAACAAAACTTTGAAGTGCAGGAAGCCAAGCGAAGCGCTAGGTGGGTCCCTTGGATACGTCATACATCCTGGTAAGGGCCATGACATTTCGGGTATGACGGATCTGTCATAACGTCATGATTAGTTTGCATGTCACTTTGAAGTTTTGCCTTATCTTTCAAGTTGATCCTTGACGGATCAGTGAGTTTAGTCTGGAAAATCTCATATCGAGTATAAGTCATAGTGACTGGTTTAGAATACGTTAGGGATGCTTTAAATGCTGTCTCTCTAATAATCTTTACATTTTCCTTCGAAATATTCTGTACTTGTTAACCTGGTAAGTCCTTGGCTCACTAAAAGAGGTGCTCTATGGTAAAGCCGTGACATGTCGAAGGTATGGTATGTATTTCGTTCTTAAGACACATTCACAATTGCTTACTGACTTAACCATCGGAGGGCCGTTGGCTCAAAGCCGACGGCCAACTTTGACAGTTTGTAGTGAGTGCAGGGTCAATTTGAGACAAGCGACGGAGGACCAATTTACAAAGGATGGAAAACATCATTTCTACTCTTACCAATTGGGTATTGTACATCAACATAAAAAAGGGAAAGGGTTGGGCTGCCCATGAGAGTATCATGGATTACAGTCCCAATCGGCCCTTACAACATATATGTTTTTGGCCAAAATCAACACACATACATGACAGCACACATATATATATACAGCACTAGTGCGCACACACAGGATACAAAAGCAGACACATCAAAGTTTTCACATCAAACATAGCAAAATGAAAGTCAGGCCTTGGATAAACCACCAAGTGCACAGGCATAAAGAGTCAAGAGTGCTTCCCGTCCTGGATAAACCACCAGGATACCGGGAGCAAGATCAGAAGTGTTTAGCAAAAATGTCAAATAGAACAGAGCAACCTAAGCATGTTGGGAGTCAGCCTCGCCATCGGACTGACCCACATCGAAGCCGTCCTCAGCAACTGGAGGATCCATATCCTCTTGAACCTTTTTCCAGGTTGCAATATCCTCCTCAGCATTCCAGTTGGATGACTCACCCGCAAGAAAAGAAGCCATAAGGTCTCCCCTGGTTTGCCAGACGTAGTAGCAAGCTGCGTCAGTGACTTCCTGTTTCTTTTTCCGACCGTAAGCTTCCAGCGCTTTAGTCCTGTTGACCAGTCGTGAGATTTGAGCAGATTGAGCTGACACCTCCCTTTGCAAATCTTGGACCAGCTTGGCATTTTCTTCTGCCAAGGAATGGGCAGTCGACTCCTTACGCCTAGATTCGTCAAGGGCCCTCTCTAGCAAAACTACCCTCTCAGCCGCAGCTAGACTCGCTTGCATACTCTGTTGGTTTATTTAATCAAGTTTCAGAAACCTGTTTCAAGAGAAGAGATAGGTAAAAAGGGGGAGGAAAGACTTACCTGAAAGGCATAAACCGACGATGCAGATAGTACTCCAATCGGTGGAAGAGACTTGAAGACATCCAGGGAAGAGGGGAGCAGGAGTTTGTGCACTTCACTTCTCATAAGGGACACGTCTTGCAATCTACAAAAATCGGAGGACAATGACAGGTTTACATCCAGCGACTTGGAATCCGGAGCAGCCTTAGCCTCAGAGGGCCGAGGAATGTTGGGTTTGGTCTCGACCGGCATGGTAACCTTGGGAATCTTCAGGGGAGTAGAAGCTAATCTGGGAGAGGCTCTTTTCTTTTTGGAATCCAGGGCAAGCAATTCATGAGCGGACGGGACCAAGCGAGAGCTGGAGGAAGACGCAGCAGCTGCAGCAATGCATACAACGTGAAATGGGAACAAAAACAGCCGCATTACACTAGACAAGTTCCAAGTCAAACAACAAAATCAGATACTTACCAGTAGCTGGGTAGGAACACTTCTTGGGAACCGTCTGAGAACTATCGCCCACCGGAAAGACGACCTGCATTGGGATGTAGATATCTGCATTCTCTCCTGCACCAGCCTTCGAAGTTTCTGATTCCTGATCTGAGTCCTCAAGTGAGACTACAGACGAGTCTTAAATCAGATTAATGGAAGCCTTCATATTGCGACCAGAACGCCTTAACCCGACGGATCTATCAGGAGTGAGAGTAGGGGGCATACCTGGAGATTCGGCAACCAGGTTTACAAACCAGCGTTCTTCCACAGGGATAGCTTGAATTCGTGCAGTACGTTCCTCCAATTTCGGACCATAAGGGATGGATATTGCCTTCTTCTCTGAAACCGAGGGTTACGAATGTGATTGCAATTTACCGCACATTTAAAAAAAAAAAAAAAAAAAAGACAAGGCAACAGAACGCCATTATTTACCTTTGTGCAGGTTATCTTCAAGGAAAGACCCTTCACTACCAAGTGAATCTTTGAGGACAAAAAAGTACCAGTGCATCCAGCCCCTGTCATTCGCTTTGTCAACTTTGTGAATGAGTCTGGGTTTCTTGTCCTTCATCGCCACGGTGAATCGGCCAGGCCCAGAAGTTCGGAGTTCGTAAGTGAAGCCCAAGTCTTCAAATTCGAAGGGGATGTCATACTTTTCGCGTACAACCTCCAGCGCACGAAGAATCCTCCACACCTGTGGCATGATTTGGGAAGGCGACAAGTTGACGAACTCCAAGAAACCCCGAGTTAGGGGGGAAAAAGGGAACTTCATCCCAATTTTGAAGGGATAGTACAGGAAATTGACCCATCCGGGGCAAAACCAGTCCATGCGCTCGTTCGCTGCAGGGAAGCGGATGACGGCATTGGGTGGGAAGCCGGCGGAGGTTTGGATGAGTTCCACCTGTTCCTCGGTGAGTTTTGCTTGTTTTGCGCTTTTGGGCTCTAGAATGAATTGCGGAATGAAGCATTGAGAAGCCATGAGAGCTGACGAGTTGGTTGCAGAAGGAAGAAAGGAAAGGAAAAGTTTCTTGAAGAAGGAAGAGTGGAATGGCAAGCGATCCGGTGGTAGTGATTATGAGTCTGGAAAGTAGTCGGTTGCACAACTTCCAAGACGGTTTGGTTTGAAATTCGAAGTAGCGTTGGGCGAATGGTTCGGCTTCAACCGCTTCATCGAATTGGGGGCAATTGTTGGGCCAGGAAATTTCCGTCCAATAAACACGGCCCAGTTGGAGAATAAGTAATTAAGATAACCAGCCTACTTGACATGTCCAGATAAGCACCGAAGCCCAGCAAAGGAAAGATGAGATGGGTTAAATGATTGGTACCCCTAATGGATAAGCATGAGCTAAACTTGGAGGAAAAGAAAGGGAACGTGCGAGTAGAGAAAAGGGGGTGCCGCCTAAATCGTCGGACAGTTGGAGTCATGATCGGAGGAAGCAATTTAAATATCCGAAAACTAGCATAGATAGGGGACTTTTGATTCTTTCGACATTTATTTTTTGAGAGATCAAGCTATTCTCTTTACTGTAAACATTCGAAGCATTCATATCACTTCCACTTAATAGCAATTTATTCAAGTAGTTCACATTATATACTTGCACGATCCCAATTTGTGATATTTGGTTTAGTATAGTTAATTCTTGCTTAAACATGAAGTAAACGAATATTTTGTACGTAGTATATTAGATATCACAACATGTATTCGATACATGTATTGTTTGGTCCTCCCTTACCCATCTTAGAGAATAAACAATGCATCAGAAGTATCATGTACTATACATATACCATACATTATACTTGTAAAAGTATTACTACCTCCGTCCCAAAAAGAGTTGCAAATTTGACTTTTCTTAGTCAAACAGTCTCGTTTTGTTCACTTAATTAGGATGTCAATTTTTAATTATATTCTAATTTGGAGTTTACAACTTTGAAGAGATTTTAATGTAGTTTTTGAATATGTAAATTTTAATTATTAAAAACTGAATTAATTATCCATACGGAGGGTTGACTTTTATTATTGGTTGACCAAATATTGTTGACTTTGCAAAACAAATTGGGACAGAGGGAGTACATAGTAAAAATGTAAAATATATTGGAGAATAAGAGATATTGAGAAGATGAAGAAGATGAAGATGATTAGAGAACAGAGAGGATTTAGGGAAACAAAGACTGATATGACCTATACTATATCGGCAAAAATATGAGCTTTCAATCATACGTAGTATGAGATAATTTTGTGTATAAAATAGCATGTTGCATTTCTATTACGTGATGAGCACATGACACTACTTTTTATCAATCAATAATAAACACGCGAGCAGGGCGGAGCCAGAAAATTGTGTGAGGAGGGTCGAAATTTAATTATATACAGTATCAAAATAATGGATAATTATACAATACTTGAGTTAATTGTTTCATATGTAACTGAGATAAATTGTAGTTTAATGAGCACTTTCGGTTAATGTATTGATATATAAGTAATGTATTATAATGTTTACACAACTAATGACTGAATAAGGTGTATTATTTTTAAATTTAAGAATATAATCAACACCATGCGTCAAATTTTGCTTATTTCAAGTTAAGATGGTGCTGATTTTTCCAAAAGTCATAACTTTTTACTCGTATGTAACGAGTTACGGGACCCATAATATATCAAATCGAAGGTATTTCAGAACTCTATGTTCTTGAACTTTCAACGGGGTCGGCTGACCACCCTAACCCCCTTGGCTGTAATGTGTGTGAACGACCAGCATCAATGACTATTCTACATTGTGCATTCTATAAAACACTTGTTTTAGTTGGAGCTCAACAGTCAACATAATTCAATAAGAGCCCGTTTGGTAGCACGAAAATCGGTTGTTTTGGCTAATTCTGTTGAAATTTATGAAGTTCTGGCTGAAGTGGCTGCATTGGCTGATTCTGCTGATTTAAGAAAAAATTACTTTTAAAATATATTTTATTGATAAAATAAAGAAAAAATTATATGTAAAAATAGCTAAAATGGTAATCTATAGTAACTTCAGCCAATACAGCAAGAAAAATAACTTCAACCTTACTTTTTCGCTTATTACATGATTCAGCGCGCGAAAGCAAAAATTGCGTGTTTGGTGAAAAAATTGGCTGATAAGCCTGATAAGTCGAAAAGCAGGGTTGCCAAACGGCCTCTAAATCAACCCAAACTTCTTTTAGTGTCTTTAATAGTTAATACGTTTGTTTGAAGTACGTACCTCATTTTGTCATCACACTAATTTAGCTTTTTCTATCAAGCTTATTTTGTTTAATATCCCTTTTTTGTCATTTTTATTTATTTATTTTTACTCTACTCACTAATCTATTATACATTTATACTACGTATACAATATACTTCCTATGTTTTACGTCAAATGTTATCCTTAAACTGAGATGATTTTCAATTTTGTGACCTTTTTCTTGGAACTGTGACACTGATACCAACGAATCACAAAGTTATTAAATTGGATATCCCTTACTCTAGATACATCTGTTCCACAATAAAACAAGCATGACTAAAAATAAATGGAAAAATTGATAGTAATAATCCCAACTATTGGCGGTCTGCTCATAATAATCCCAACTATTGATTATTTCAGAATAATCTCAACTTTAGGGACCTTCCGCCAATAATGGTCCCTATAAATAAATTCTTGTAGTTTTTAAAGCGGATGAGAAGAGATATAACAAGTAATCCCTATAAATAATACAACTTTTAATTTTTATGCTTAATTTCTATTACAAAAACACTTGTTATAAAGGTAATATCTGACCATGGACCATTATTGGCGGACGGTCCATATAGTTGGGAATTGGGATTATACAAAAATAATCAATAGTTGGGATTATTGTCAGCGGATCAGCAATAGTTGGGATTATTATTTTCAATTTTTCCAAAATAAATTATTGATGCCTATCTTTTCCCGTTATTCCTTTTAGAAATTGCACTTGATCAAAAGTTATTTCTAGTGAGCCATTGATACCTATATTAGAATAATGAACAATAAATTTTATTTGCCATTAACTCTAATCTTCAAAATGCTATCACAAGTTATGCTAAATTTGTACGGAGTATGAACGAATGTCTCTTAAGGGATAGTCTAAATTGAGTGTGCTACTGTGCTTATAAAATGCAGAAACGGAATAATATATTGTAGGGTAATACCCATAGAGGTGATAGGAAATACGGAGTATCTTTTAAATGGTAGATATGTAATTTTGGGTGTGAGAGGATCGGAGTTGTAACAACGTTTTTAATTGGACTGAAATTTTCCGGTCTGATATGATCTGGCCTGGATTAATCCGGTCTAGTAAATGTTTGATTTTTGGAAGAAAAGCATTGAAAAACTCAAAGCACATATTCTTTTGTCATAATAAATAGTCAAAACAATAAAATTGAAAAACTCAAACATGCAAAAAAAGTATATATCACTCACATAATAGTCGAAAGACTAGCTATAATTATTACAAGAAATATTAGAGGACATTTAAATATTGGTTTAAAGTATTATCTCCATTATTAATCATAAAATTATGGGGTTCAATTCAAACATTTTGAATCGATCACATGGACTTATACATTAAAGATTTTTAATCACAACTCACAAGGATAACTAAAGTTGTGTATAACATGGAGTTTGATGAATTGATTTTTTAATACTCCGTATATAATAAATCTCAAGTACTTGAAACAATCATTGCGTAGGTATATATTCATGTTGCCCACTCTAGTTTAACCAAAACAAAAGTTCAGTACTTATTTTGGTACGAATAAATAATTAAGTACAGTACCAAATTTGCGGAAAAAATTGTTTTCATTTCGAATCCGTGACCTTAAAATTTTAACATTATTATTTGTAAAAAAGAGAAATTATTGCATACTTAACACGAGGGCCTCACATGGCTACAATTTGATCCGTAAATTAATTATACACGTTGCAATTGATTTAGAGAAAATGGAAACTAATAATCCAACCTTTTAGCGGTCTTCTTACAATAGTCACACCTTTTGATTATTCATGAATAATCCAACCTTTGCATCTCATCTTCATTCACTGGTCCCTGACCGGTTGATGACCTGCTATTCCAAGTTATTTTCTTATCTTTGCAAAATATTATCTTTGTGAAAGGTGAGATTTATGGTATAATGGTTTGCAAAGATAAGAAAATAACTTGGAATAACAGGTCATCAACCGGTTAAGGACCGGTGAATGAAGATGAAGTGCAAAGGTTGGATTGTTCATGAATAATCAAAAGGTGGGACTATTGTAAGAAGACCGCTAAAAGGTTGGATTATTGGTTTCCATTTTCCCATTGATTTATAGGGTGTTCCTGTATAATAAGAATCAAATACATGGTAGAAACCTAAAATTCAGGAAGCATTTTATTAATTATTAATTAATGATATGACTTGACAAGGTAGCGTTATTAATTTTTTTCCTTCTTTTTGAAGGCATGAACAACTAACAAGGTAGTATTAATTAACTATTAATTTAATGTCGTCCAAACAGAAGAAGCAGGTGGGACTGCTAAACTACGTACATACAACAACTAATGTAACCTAGCCAGGGCTACAGATCAGATGGTATTACTATTACTAATATCATATCACAGCTAAGCTAGCTTTTAATTAGTAAATTTCCCTTCTTTTTCGTACCTCTTAATTTATTGACATACAAAAGACAGTAGATCTTGTCAAGGTTTAGGTTGTCGTCTTTGTAGATAGTTTAACAAAAAAAGAACAAAACAAAATGGTAGTAGAATGATTGTTAATGCATGATTTGAATGCAAAGTAATTTGCATTGAAGAAAATAAAGCTTAGTCGCTATCTTGGCTAGCGCGCTGTTCCATTTTGCAATTATGTACTAGCTAATACATTAATTTTGAGATATTGTGAATTGGTGATGCATTGTCACTCATTATGCAATTTTCGTGACAAATTTCATCATGGGTCATTCGAAAACAATTTTTCTGTGTTTTAGTATAGAGGTAGGACGGTGTGCATCTCACCCTCTTACTCCACCATAGGAGGGAGTCTTTATGGTACTGGAGTAATGTTGTTGTTGTTTTACCTTTGATTTCCAAATAGACCCCAAGAATTATCACGGTGTTGGGTAATGAGGAAAACATTGAGAAAGTGCTTGGTCGTGATATTGTAATATTATTAAATAGGCTAATTATTGGCAATATAAATGACAACCATTTGGGCAGCCAATTAATGTTGCCGAATATAATTAACTAATGATAATGACCTTCAGAAAATGTATAACCTAAAGAAAGAGGACATATATCCGACGGGGGTTGACAGCCAAACTACGAAGTGCAAATAGAACTATGTAACATGCCTCAACATGGCCGGTCTGATTGGGTTCATGTTCTTCTGTCGTATTGGTAAAGTAGATTTGATCTTACTCATTTAAATAATAATAATAATAATTAGCAAAAACATATTGCAATACTGTTAGATTTTCTAATATTTCCTCCTGTCTCTTATTTTTCCTACATTTCTTTACCCTCTATTGTGATAGTGAAATTGTTTAAC